TATGTATTTTAGAATACAAGCCATGGTATACAGCAATGGTCTGCAATGGAAAAGGTGCAAACTATTGCAGGTATATAAACTCACTGAAAGTAATAATGCTCAGCACAGCAGTTTACCTGCATATTCTATTCTTGGCTGCAGAATCAGGCCCTCACCATCCTCCAGTGTTGCTGCAACAATGTATGAACTCTTTTGTCAGCTTGCGTTGTTGCAAATGTCCTTTTTGCGTTACTTGGCCTTATATATTTATACAGAGGAAAGGGAATTATCCTGGAAAACTGTAGATCTGATAAAATTGCAGGTGTTAGGGACTTAGCAAGCAGTGTAGTGTTGCAGCTAAAAACACTAAGATATTTTCTGTGGATCAAAGGAAACACATCTCTCCGGTAGTTTTTCATTAGTGCTGGTTACAAGACAATAACTAGTGATTTTTCCCTAATCCATGCAGAAGGGGTTCTTGCACTGCTCTACCGATAGGAGAGAAGGAAATCTGCTCTGTCTCCTTCGGGACCAAGTTTCCCCTAAGCCACAAGTGTAATTCAGTGTTAAGGTGGCCTGCGACAGTGAGTCACTGGTGATCACAATGCATTAGTGGTGTGTTTCTGAGCGATCAACAGTTAATGTGAGTTAGTTCTGTTGGATCATTTCATATTTTCAGCTGAAGAGACAATTTAGTAATTTTTTTCTCTTCTTCTTGGACACATGCAATCTCACATAAACTTGAAATGTTATTAAAAATATAATAAGGATTTGATAATTAAAGTTTGATCATTTGTAGCGTTAAACCAGCAAAAACTGCATTGGCTTACCTCATTTGTACAGGGATGCCATTTTTGTTTTAACATAACAGATCCCTGAGAAAACAAGCCATTGGACTGTGGGTTACAGCTAAACTCAGCAGCCCTCCTCTTTCCAAAAGTCTAGGATGAAATAAAATTGGAGAAATGTTTTAAGTCTCTACAGACACATTGTGCATCCTTGCATGCAATGAGAACTTTGCTACACTTACAAACCTGAATTCTTCCCTCAAAACCTCGTGTATTCAAATTAGATATTTATGTTAATTGTATAGTCACTAGTTTTTTCTGAATGCTGTAGAGGAGACAGAGGTTATTTTGGAAGGCAATTAACATGTTAGGTCATCAGGAGGTGATTCAGCCCATCCTTCCTTGACTATTAAGGGAGCCAGGTATGACTGTATGCAGAAAATCTAGTCGTTTTAGATACAATGAAATAGGAGATTAATCTGGATAGGAATATCTTCTTGGTGAGACTAATTCTCAAATATCAGTGAAAATCCTAGAGACGTATGCTGGAAGACACTTTAGCAAGCCATTCTGCCCACTGTCTTGTTCTAAGGCAGGATTCAAAGCACTTAATGCCTTGCAGGTGTTTATTCAACCTCTTTATGTAGGAATAATATTTCACAACCTTCTTCCTATTGCCGTGAAGGTGGCTCAATACTTCATGTGTCACTATCACCCTATGAAGAACAGCCTCAGAAGAACAGAAGACTGAAACAGAAAAAAGACCTACAAGGTCCTAGTGTCCTGTCTCTGGTGGGTGTCAGAAGCAGGCACTTAGGGAAGAGGAAGCAGAGATGCTTCCCTGGGAATAGTCCCCTGCCTCCAGCAGTTTCCAGTTGGGTGCTTTCCTGAGACAGAGTTGCTGTTTTTACGTTTAACTGTTATTTGATTTCTCTTGCATGAGTATTTCCTGTCTCTTCTCCAATTCATGTAGACTTTCAGTACCTGCAGCATCCAGATATGTCTTGGACCTGTAGCCACACCTAATTCATTTTATGGAAAGGTAAGGTGGAATCACACAGGATTTTGTAGCTGAGTCCAGGGTGGATCTCCAGACTTCTGAATCTCATTCACAGGAAGAGATTTTTCTGTCTTAATGGAATACAAAACAGCATTTTTACCTTTTCAGCCATCTTAACAATAAAAAATACTAATGAAAGGCATTTAAAATGCTCTGCATTTTTAATTTTGTAATCAAGGCACCAAATACTAACAATATTCACAATATCATCAATAAAGTAAATGTTATCTCCTAAATAGAACAGGAATATTTTTTACATATCAAGTATTTCAGATAAGGTTATATTTAATTTAGTGGATGAAACTCAGTATACTGTACCCACCATATCAATGTTATATTTTTACTTTCTATAGCAATGCTTTTGTATATTATGCACAGCTCCCAGATGATTTTAAAGTAAGAGAAGGAAGTTTCAATATAATCCACCTGCATTTGCACTGCATCTACCACTGATTAGATAGATACCATGCCAACAACACTCAAAGACTCTTTCTTGTCATTTTGTTAATGATGACCCATATATCCTTTCTTTATTGGACTCTCAGTGTAGTTTATATAAATGGTTATCATTTACTTTTCACAGTAGCTTGAAAAATGCACAAGCATCCCTAATTAATAAGCTTGAGAAATAATTCCTGAGTTTTCATTAACCAAGAAGGCAGAAAAAAACCCAATGTTTATCAAAGATATTCAGGAAATTAGATACAGTTCTGAAGAACCAAAATGGTAAGAAATGTACTGGGGCATTCATTATGATTCAAGAAATCAAGAATTTCTTTCTTTGGATGCAGATAGATCCCACTTGAGTGCATGCAATTCAATAATGAAAAATCTATTCTATCATTGAAAAATGAGGGATTTATTCATGAAAGCTCTCATTGCATTAATCAGAGTTGGCCTTGAATTGATTGGAAAATAGATCCACAAACTGCAGACAGCAGCACATAGGAATTATATTTGTGTCTGTAAAGATTATGCGATAATGTAGATATTTGCAAGGGAGTATGAGACCCTTATAGAAAAAATAATATTTATACAAATAAGTAAAAGTGGGAGTCTAATGTACTCAAGATATGGGGTGTGGGCTAGAGAAAAGAAAGAAGGAGAAAATATTAGTTTAATTACAGCATGACTAATTTATTTGATGCTGTTAGTCTTTTCCATTTTAATTAGATGAGGAAAGGGATATTTAACTCAAAGATAAAATGGATAACATGCACACATTTATGCTGCTGAAAAGCTAAGCAATTATGTTTAATAAAAAATCTTAACATTTAAGAAGTTTTACAAAATATATGTCTGAAAGTCCTTAATGATTGTGTTGTAACTAAATAGAAATACCTCAAAATACATCAACAAGTACTTTATATTGTTATTATTTTTGTATAGATTCCACCATTTCTTTTGATGATACCACTAATATTTAGAATAATCTGTTTACAATGTCATATTCTATTTTGGCTATAGAATTTTTTTTTCCCAAAGGTGTGAAAGAAAATAGTTTTTGCTTTAGTTAGGACTAAGTCTCAAGTATATCAGGTGCCAAGAAACAGTCAAATTTGCATAGCGAGATATTTTAGTACATATTTAAAACAATCCTAGGACAAAGAGGACCAAAAAAACAAAACTCATTGGTACCTGAAGGAGACCTACAAGAAAGCTGGAGATGGACTTTTTACAAGGGCACATAGTGATAAGACAAGAAGGAATGGCTTTAAACTTAAAGAGGGTAGATTTAGATTAGATATAAGGAAGAAATTCTTCACCATGAGGGTGGTGAGGCACTGGAACAGGTTGCCCAGAGAAGCTGTGGATGCCCCATCCCTGGAAGTGTTCAAGGCCAGGTTGGGTGGGGCTTTGAGCAACCTGATCTAGTGGAAGGTCATGCCCATGTCAGGGGGCTTGGAACCAGATGATCTTTAAGGTCCCTTCCAACCCAAACCATTCTATGATTCTATGATTCTATGAAAAATGTGAGCTTTTCTCCCTTAAAATTTTTCATTTTCAAAAGAATTCAAATATGTATGAAAAATGCCTAGGATTTGTCATTATATGAATCTTAAAATTGTTTCAGATATACTTTCTCCTTACATATTATCTACCCCAAACATAAATAGTCTATACTTACTGTCATCTGTTGCATCTCCATCTTTGTTACAGCTCATGATCTGAGAAAGGGCAAATACTCAGCTGTTGTAAACTGTAACAGATCCATTGACTTCAATAAAAAATGACAGGTTATGCCAAATATAGATTTGCCCCAAGTCTCCTCATGCAAAGTTCTTCAGGGTATGTTGCTAGTGAGTGTAAATATTAGTTGCTATTTAAGTAATTTCTTTAAAGTAAAGTGTATGATATCACGGTGCTCTGAGCTTCCCACTACTAGAACTACGATGCAAGACTGTGGGTGAGCAGTGTCAATTGCCCATACATCAGGCCCCCAAAGGTTTGCTGGTTACTAGCATAAACTATAGAAAATGACCCTTTTACCCTAAATCCTAAAGAATAATCCATGTGTGTGATTTATTCCAAAAGGACATGTATAGCAATACTTTAATCTCTTTAGTTCGCATACTAAGAGCATCATGCACTGCACTATTTGAAATTCTGCAAGTGGTTTTAATAACAGAATATTCTTCAGGAAATATATAGTTTAAAATGTCCTTTTATTATCTCTTTTTAAATATGGAGATGGGGGGTCGGGAGGTGGAAAGGAGGAGGAGTGCAGGCTGTAGGGAGATGAGTAGAAAGTATTGCTGAATCATCTACTTCATAAAAGCTAATCCTCATCTGGCAGAGCTCCTTTAGTTCTTTTTTTTCTTTCTTTTTTTTTTTTTTTTTTGAAATGAATAAGGGGAAAAATTGTACTTATTAAACAAGCTGCACTTTTGGCAGAACAGCCAACACTAATCATAGCTCTGTGTTAACCAGCTGGCTATTAGATCAGCATTCCTAGCCTTGCTTTTGGATTTCTGTGAATCTTCTTATTTAATTTGTCAGAAGACTACAGATAAAAGAAAACATAAACTAATGAGACACTGCATGTTTTTCATTTCAAAATTTTATTATGACCATAGTTCAGTTAGATATTCACTGGCCAGAGACGTCAAAAATAACAAGAAAGGAAGAACACCTTCTTCACCTCTGTCTTTACTAACACTGTTGGATCCCAGGCTTTGTTAACAAAAATCCAGGAGGATCCAAACATAGACCCACCATCAGTGATGAAGGAGTTAGTATGTGAATTATTAAAGGAGCTTGACCCCTACAAATCGATGGGACCTGATGCCATCCACTCGAGGGTGTTGAGAGAGCTGGCTGATGTCATTGCGGGGCCACTCTCTATAATCTTCGAGAAGTCATGGAGATCGGGGGATGTCCCAGAGGGCGGGAGGAAGGCAAATGTTGCCCCTATCTACAAGAAGCGCTCAAGGAAGGTTCCAGGTAATTATAGGCCCATCAGTCTTACTTCAATCCCCAGGAAAGTCATGGAATGGATCCTCCTGGGGGCCATCATGAGTTAAATGAAGCATGTGATTGGGAAAAGCCAACACGGCTTCACAAAAGGCAGATCGTGCCTGACAAATCTGGTGGCCTTCTATGATAAAGTGACCTGCTCAGTTGACATGAGGGAAGCGGTCGACAGTGTCTACTTGGACTTCTCCAAGGCCTTTGATATGGTTCCCCACAGCTTCCTCCTGGAGAAATTGATGCATTATGGCCTGGACAAGCGGTCTGTGCACTGGGTGAGGAATTGCCTGACGGGCTGCGCCTAAAGCGTTGTGGTAAATAGCTCTTTTTCAAACTGGCAACCCAGCACAAGTGGGGTCCCTCAGGGATCAATATTGGGCCCAACTCTATTCAATATCTTCATAAGTGATCTGGATAACAGGGTCAAGTGTAGCCTGATGAAGTTCGCAGATGACACCAAATTGAGTGAGGAAGTAGACACTCTGGAAGGGAGAGCCACCCTGCAGGAAGATCTGGATAGGCTGGAAGAGTGGGCTAACAAGAACCTTATGAAGTTTAACAAGGACAAGTGTAAGGTCTTGCACCTGGGAAAACATAATCCAGGAGTGCAGCTCAGACTGGGATCCACCTGGCTAGAGAGCAGCTCTGTGGAAAGGGACCTGGGGGTCCTGGTGGACAGGAAGCTCAACATGAGTGAACAGTGTGCTGCTGTGGCCAAGAAGGCCAATAGGATGCTGGGTTGCATCAAAAAGGGCATCACCAGCAGAGATAAAGAAGTCATTGTCCCTCTCTACTCAGCGCTTGTCAGGCCACAAGTGGAATACTGTGTACAGTTCTGGTTCCCGTTATACAAAAAAGTTGTGGACAGGCTGAAGGGGGTCCAGAGAAGGGCCACCAAGATGATGAAGGGTCTGAGAAGCCTGCCATATGAGGATAGACTGAGAGAGCTGGGTTTGTTCAGCCTTGAGAAAAGGAGGCTTAGAGGTGATCTCATCACCATGCACCAGTACTTAAAGGGGAGCTACAAAGAAGATCGAGACTCCCTTTTTACAAGGAGTCACATGGTGAGGACAAGGGGTAATGGGTACAAGTTACTCCCAGGGAGATTCCGATTGGACACGAGAGGTAAATTTTTCACAATGAGATCAGTCAATCATTGACTGATCAGTCAATCATTGATCAGTCAATCAGTAATCTCCCCAGGGAAGTGGTTGACTCCGCTACGCTGAACACATTTAAGACTCAGCTGGACATGGTGCTGGGCCATCTTGTCTAGATTGTGCTAGAAAGGTTGGACCAGATGATCCTTGAGGTCCCTTCCAAGCTGGTATTCTGTGATTCTATGATTCTATGATTCAGGCACAAATGTTTGAAGCCAAAGGTACTGCTTTCAGCTTTAAAGTTAGCATGCTGTGTTTACCTGCAAATATCCATTTGTTTGCCCAAACATCATCTTGATTAGAAATCAGGAGTTCCCAGCTCCCATTTGTGAAGATTCTGAGTCACCCTTTGCATTGCTCATTGCAGAGAAATTTGTAAAAGACAGGACAGAAAATTTCAAAAGCTTGTAATCAGATATATGATCTTCAAATGCATTTATCTTTGAAGTCAACAAGCAGATACCAACTTATACCAATTCCAAATATGGATCACAGCTGTTTCTGGTTTTCTGGATCTTTGAGTCATTTAATTTAATCTTTGCTATGACTATTATTGGTTCTTTATTGTGGCCCTGTCTAGAAGTCCTACATGTGTTAGAAAATGTACAGGTGCAGACTAAAGGATCCCTTTCTTCTGTCCTCCTCCTCCATTCCTACAACCTGTAATTTATCTCCCTCAATGACCGTGGCTGAAAGCAATGACCTCTGTTGCAATCAGTATAACCGGGCTCTAAGAGTGAATTTTTTTCTCAGTTGCTTTAATCTATAAGCACAGATTAACAAAAATATAGTCTCTTCCAGTTCATGGATTTTGCTGAGAAGAGGGAAGAAAAAAGGGCATATGCAAAAAGAATCTAAAAAAAAGCCACGATAAAACTGCAAAAATGACAAAAAGAAATGCGAATCTGTGAATAAAGAGACGTATCGTTTCTAAATGTTGGGAAGAGGTTTTGCAGCATGTAGTTTTCTCAGTGTTAGCCTTTAATTCCAGAAAAAGAGTGGTACAGTACTTAACCATCAATCACTAATCAGCTATGACATGCAATTTGTATTCATACTCATGAGTCCTTTCTAACATTTTAGGTCAGCTTCATCTCACAAGCAAAAAATCAGACAACAGCATCTGATTCAGGGACTATTGCTGAAAGTTAGTATGTGTAACCTTGCTTCCTTACTTTATTGTATGTTATTGTTGTCTTTTTCATCCCAGCTAACAGACTGTCCACCAAAAGTTCAAAAATATCATCTGTCACTTCAAAGTGCTCTTACATATGACTTGCCTTACCCTGGAAGAAAGAGGTGAGAGATGATCTGAGACAAGCATAATGGCTAACCACCTCCATGTAGTCATTTTTAAACTCTCCAAGAACAGTGTATAGAAGCTGACCTCGCTCTGTGACCTAAATTGATCTCACTAGCTAAATGGGGTCAAGGCTGGTCACTCCTGGGAAGGTAGAAATGCTTCTCACAGCACAGCTGAAGCTTTGCATTCCTCCTCCAAAGCACTGTGCAGGCAACCCAAACAGCCTGGAGGCGATTCTTAATGAGATCCTTTATTCGGAAGAAAAATCCTTCCTCCAGAGGTAATCACTCTGGACCAGGTTGTACCTATTCATCCTAAACTGCTTGGATGAGCAGAAAGGTACCTTCCCTGGCTCCCCTAAAAATTCCTTCAGCAGTTTAACCAAATTTGGTTTTATTTCAAGGGAGGGTCACATGGAGGAGGTCTGGATGATGCAATGAATGCTCATCCTGCCTGGTCAGAGAAGCTGATGCTGGAGCTGAAGCTGGGAAGGAAATCTCTGTTTTCAGCTCTCCAGCTCTAGTTCAGGGAAAAGGTGTGTTGCCAGGAATGTGACTGGAGGGTGAGAGAGAGAAAAAATACCAATCAAAATCTGGGACAAAATAAAGTCCTGGAGATTTACTTTTTTTTTTTTCAGAGAGCAAGGAAAAGCATTGTTTTCTAGGCCTATCCTGGCCCAACTAAAATGTCTGGTCACTGTGCTCTATTTCCCTGTTTAACAGGGCAGAAGACCCTATAGGGGATAAGAACAATCCATTCCTAAGCACTTTCTGCTTTGCTGCACTTCAAAGATTGTATTTTTAACAATACTGCCCTGTGGAACACACAGATGAGGCGAACATTTCAGGTGCCTCACACGATTCCAGAAAATGCTCCTCCTTGTGGTTGCGTGGCTACATGGAAATTGGCTAACATCCAGTCTTGCACACCAAGGGATGCAGGGTGAATGCTGTCTACTGCTGACGGCTGAGATGTATAGCGAACAATCAGAGGACCTGAACATATTGGGGAAACATTATAAAAAATGTTAGAGACAGAATGACAAGCATAGCCAGTATCATTAATAAAGCAAGCTCTATGGGAAAAAAAAATCATTCTCTATTACAGGAGAATTATAATAAATATCTGTTTGATTTTTCTTACTCTTAAGCTGCAAGTGAATGCTCAGTCTTTGGAAAATGTGCTACATTGCTGATTTGGACTATGCAAATTTCTGCATACAGGCAGCCTGGGCGAAGCTGTGTATGCTCTTGTACACATATACACTCATACACACACACACACACACACATATATGCCAATACATAGTGCTGACACTTCATGGTATTCCAACCATCCCAGCCATTTGATTTTCCCTATGCTAGAATTACTTTTCTGGAGTGGGATTTATTTTCCTTTGTTTTCCATGTTTTCAATGTACGTAACAAAATGATTCAAAGTATTTTCTGCAAGTTTTTCTTTCTAAATCCCTCCTACATTTTCTCAGATAGTTTTAAGAGAAACTTGCTTTGCAAATCCAGTTTGATACATAAATACTGAGTAGGTGATTCCAATTAGTGTAGCCTCTAAACAGCTCACCACGTTCAAGGTGATTTTATTTACCCTTGTGAGAGGAAGAAATATCCCTTCCTTGTTTACAGGTAAGAGAAGTGAGTCTGAGAAAACAGATGATTTGCCCAACATCAGCAAGGAGCTTCAAGTATAGCAGGAAACTGAGTCCAAGACACCCATCTTCCAAGTGAGGAGCCTAACCAATGGACCGTATTGCACCTATGATTGCCTGAAACAGTACATCCCAATTAACTGTTCAGAAGAAAGTAGTCCTTACTTGCACATGTTCAGAATTCCCATCAAAATTGTAGAAAGATTTTCTAATGTTTTTCAATGATGTCTATAAATACAGATGTCATCTAGACAAATGATGACACATGCATCCACCAAATGGTGAGAAACTGTCATTCATTAATGCCATATAGACAGACGGTACATTTGTCAGTCCAGAAGAGTGAGACTAAGAGTCATCTATTCCTACAGCTCATTGTAATGACACCTTGTTCTGCCGTTCTTTTTTGCAGTTTCATTTTTAACTTTTATCCCCATCTAATAATGCTTGCAGTGCTGCTATAACTTTGTGAAACATTGTAACCATTTAAAGCCAAAGATTTGAAAAATGTTAAAACATTTAAATATATTTAATGAGATATGGTACAAAGCAGTGATTATTTCTGCATTATTGCAAGGAGGCGGCACTCCCATTATAAGGATAGTTTCCCAACTGTCACAATGGCTTTCCCATCTATATTATCCTGAATCACAGGTTTGAATCACAGCAGAATCTATATATAGTGATCTATTTTTTTCAGTTCATGTAGCTTATTCTGGTGGAATCTTCAATAATACCTTAAAAGCAGATAGCCACATTCTGCAGAGACTTCATAAATCTAATGGCTTTGTTTTTTAAGGTAAGGTCCTGATTTCTACCTCACATTGGTGCCACATTTTTGTACATCTGGCTCAAAAACACTAAGGAAGATGGTTGAGCCACCAAATGTATTATTTTAAGGGGTGGGCTCCAACAGCCACAGAAATTGTTCTAAGCATCAGGATGTTGTTAGTCTCTTTGGTCCATAGTCAGATTGCCTAGTAGAGAGCCAAAGATGCACTTAAACATCTCCTATGTCATATAAATTAAAAGGGAGATTGAGTCACTGAAGACATGTATGCTCTGGATTTGTTTATTGAAACTGAAGAGAAGTAATCACAAAGCTTGGGTGAAGCAGCCATAGCAAGCACTCTGCCTGGCTTAGAAATTATGACTGCTTCTTCTCATTAACCAAATATGGAGCCAGAGACTGTCAGTTCGTAAAGTACCATCTGAATCACTCATCTCCCCTACAGTAGGTGGCCTGAATACAGCTGTCTGCTTCTCTATCAGTAAGGTAAAAATACTAATGCTGCAGGATAAATAAAAGACTGAAGTCTTCAGACAGTGTGGGAGATGAGTTATTACAGACTGTGAGGCAGCTCCATCTCAGCAATACCAAAATGATTAAGATTACAATCCAGCCCCAAGGAGATACTCTACTATTCATAAATAAAATTTCTCTTACATTTGTTTTTGGAAATTATGCTATATTCTTTTATGAGACCCTTTCCTCCCAAAACATTTATTTGGTGCTCCCTTGCATCTTACTACAAGCTGATCTCCTACAGCTGCTAGTGCCTCACCACATTGCTTCTGTTGGAGTTGTTGACACAGATGTGATGGAGCGAGTGAAGAGGCACCAAAGTTGCTTTTTTATCTCAGTATGGTCTCTCTGCTGCAGCGGAGCATATTTTCTGTTCTGTGGTGCGTGTGGACCAATATACAGTGCCTTGGGTCCTTTCAAGATAAAGTTTTAAGAAAAATATTGAAGAGACAAATCTTGGGCTACAAAAGTCAATCTTTCTAGCTACAAATGTCCCTAGATTCTTCATTACGGACACTTAATCTTACTTCAATGATTTTTCAGTCTGCTATGACACTTTCACCTTGTTGTGACTATTGAATCTGTTGAAGTAGTAACAGCATAAAAACCTTGTTAACAAAGAAAAGATTCAGGTTGCAAAATATTAAATCTGTAAAGGTAGGATGCTTAATTTAAAATACTCTATACCACTTAAGGTTTTCCTCAACTGACTCGATTTGCATCCTGCTTAGACTGACGTAAATCAACAGTAGCTCCACTGGTCTCAATAAAGCTACGTTGTTGTAATAAAAAAGAGGATTATAGCCACATGTCTGCTTCCCTCGCGTTATATTGTGTGTGAGTTCCGATCTATCTGCTTTATAAATTATGAATGGAATGGGAATTCTGGTTTTTATTAACACATATTTTACTACAAGTGCTGATTAGGGGGAGACATTTTCTATAATTCCTTTCCTTTTTAAATTGGAATGCAAACAGCTTCTCAGAACCATTGCCCCAGGTTCAGAAAGCGATGATTAAAGAGGCACTCTAAATTCCCCCTTGGGTTCATTGGGAACTGAAATAGGCAAGACATGCAAAGATGATAGTGAAACAAGCCAGAGCAGTTGGTCCTTTTGTTTTGGGGGTTGTTTTGTTTTGCTTTGTTTTGTTGGTTTGTTGTTTTTTATTTATTTATTTATTTAGTGTTTGGGGGTTTTTTAATATAGAGAGAAACACTGAGATACTCTTTGCTGAGGAATTATTGCAAGAGAGTCCTTTTCTAATGGTTCAAGTAATACAATTGTTTCAGAGACAGGGATGCAAAGACAAGTATTTAAAGCATAAAGAAAATAAGATAGTATGAAGAAAATAAGATAATATAAAGAATATATAAAATATAAAGAAAAGTTATGACTATGTGGCTTGACAATGAAAAGAAGCATGAACAGAGGAAGGTGAATGAAAATATTGATTAGGGACTGGCAGCATAAAAATTATCCCCATGACTAGATAGAGATGCTGTTGCTCCAGCTCAGAGGACTCAATCTGCTATAGTCCGAAGGAATGCTGTTACTATAGACATGAAAACTTAAAGCCATTGCAGTATCAAAACTGGTTGATCTGATATGCCTCAAACTATCTAAATTATGTTTTAAAATATTTTTGTACTAATATAACTTTTAAAGCAAAATCTTTATATAAGATACCTTTGTCAAACCCTGACTGAAAGCATATAACTAGTTAAGACCAGCTTTTTTGTCTAATCAGAGGTGTAGCAGCTATTCAAAAAAATTAAATTTGTGCTGGCTAATGTTCATTAGTTATTAGAAAATGTATTATCCAGTTCTACTAATCTGCATCTAGGGGTACAGTAGTCACAGAAACAAAAAAAAAAAAAACAAACAACTTCCAAACTGTTAAGCTTCTTCAGGGATAAGACTAATTTCTTTTCTGAGTTGTCAGTTTTATGGTAAGAATATCCTTGAGCTTTCTTCACTTTCCAGGACAGTTTTCTTTCTTCTTTCTCACAAACAGCCTTCTCTTTGCTTTCTGAACATAGACTTGTTTCAAAGCTAAAGCTCTGAGTCTATCAAAGAAGCTCCTGAGATGATTGATTCATATTCCCCTTTCTGATTTCCAAATACTTCAGTCTTAATTCTCATCAATACTTACAGATATTTACATCACTTAGAAGCTTTGAGCTCACAAAATAAAACAAAAGAGTTTCCATTTAAGCACCAGACTATACAGAATTTGGACGTACGTTAAATACACATGGGCAATAACTATGCACTTACACCAGTGTGAGCTTCTCTGCAGGGTGTACAGCAGATTCTTAGCTGTGTGCTGACAGACATGGCCATGGGTGAAATCCATGCTGCTATAAATTCACTGCTTTCAGTAGCCCAGAGAAGTAAGGTAATGACCACTGAAGTCTGCTGCTCAATGTTGAAAACAGATTTTTTTGATTGCAACACAGATATATTCAAAGCGCACAATTTAATTTTTAGCAGCTAGATGGGAATGTTACTGCACCCAAAGAGAAACTGGGAAAGGGAAAAAGAAAGATGCA